ATAAGTTCCGCAACAATCCACTCGTTTGTACTTGAATAACTTGTCACATTATGTTACTAGTTTGGTAAAATAACATTACCAATTCCTGATGAAAGGCAAATTGACAAATTCTGACTTTATATAATAAGTTATTGTTGAAGAACAAATAAGTGGATTGTTGCGAAACTTATGGGTGGACCTCTGCGGGACGAGCGCAGCGAGTTCCGCAGCCATCTATTTACCAATATACTGTTGAACTATTCAGATAAGATATTCACCTCAAACGTGTAGTTTTTGAACTAATGAGAATAACTGATATTTGAGTGAGTCAGGTTAGTATCGTACTTGAATAACATATTGGTGAAAAGATTGAACCATGTAATATCTGATAGCTAGAAGTATCTAAAAAAAAATAAATTGAGAAATATGAAAATTCCCTATTCCTGTTAAAAGACAAATTGATAAAAACTGGATAATCTTACAAAATTTTACTTTACATAAGTTATATTGTTCAACTACAGGGTGTTTTCTTATCATTCAGAAATGTGAAATGTTGCATGCTTTCAGCTTTTTTCAAATGGCATGCCATATAGGGTCAACTGGGGTAAATGTAAATACCTTGTATTTTCTGGCTAAGAGTGAATTTGAACTAAAATTGGCAACACTATCCGCATTTTCTTTAGCCAAGGGCGGTTTTTCAGGTTAAAATGGCAGTTGTTTCTGAAATGCGGCCATGTGAACGTAACAGTGCAGTTTAAACTGAAAAACAGATTTGTGAAGGTCTTAGAAGTGAATTGCTGACCCAAAAACGGTAAGTTTTATTCAAATTCTGGTTTAGGTGGTTGTTAATGTCATACTTGTTTAGTTTTAAACAAAAAACTAGACACATTTTGCATGTAGTAACCTACAAAATAATACTATTTACATCTACCCCCAAAGAATTGTGTTGGGGCAATTGTAAATCCTAAAATGGGGTATATGTAAATGCAAAAATTTCGGCAATTAGGTAGGTAGGTAGTGAGTGTCTTTGTTTTAAAATCTATTTTCACAGATGCCACGTAATTACATAAAAAAGAGGCCACCGCCCTCATACACCCCTGAAGACATGACTAGGGCTGTAGAAGATATTTTATTTGTTGAATTACTAGAAGTGTGGTCACAAGGAATGAAGCCTACTAATATTTTAAGGGGCTTTGAAACAACCGGCCTTTTTCCGGTCAATGCCAAACGATTTCCCGAATCAGAATCTGATACAGTTACACTAAAAAAGTACAAAGACAGTTTTAGAGAAAATAATTTATCCAGCGTGATAGAAACAGCAAATGGCAATAAAAATCCCAATGAAAAATCTCATGTGTCAACTCCACCCGCAAACATACCAGTCGCTGGCCAATCTTGGAAAAATCCAGAACCTTGTACGTTACCAGCTTTACCACAAAATTGCCAGGATATGCCAAGTCCTAATTCGAATGCTAAAGATCCTGATCAGCCACCTGACAATTCTACACCTATTAAAGGTGTACACACATCCACCACCACATTGACTCCCAACACAATAGTTAACATATTTGCTGAGCAAAGTAATAGTCGTTACATTAACCAATCAAATATTAAAAAGGTACAGAGGCAGATTATACCAAGACTAAAACCACAAAAGTATGGTGAAATTTTAACTACACAGGTTCTAGAGAAAATGGAAACTGCTCAAAAGAAGGGGACCAATAAAAACCAAAAAGATAATGAGAATGGGATTAAAAAGGCATATGGTAGAAAGAAGAAAGTCAAGAAGAACTGGTAGACGAATTGACGAATCTGCTTTTGTCAAGATGACTCTTCTGATGAAGATTTCTTAAAGTCAGTCATAGCTGAATCAACAAGTGAAGTTGAATATCATGAACCAGTTTGGAATGAATTGAAAACATGGTTGTTTGTATTAGTAGATTTCAAGGGTGGACAGAGAAATAAAATCTATTACAAGTATGTTTGTTGTATACAAAACATTGATCAAGAAGAAGGAGATGTTACGGTTCAAGGGTTTGAGAGGTTAAATTACATCAACAGAGTTTGTTGAGAAGCCAAATGATATAAGTAACATAACATTTGAAATGATTAAAGCATTCCTCCTTCAATATCGTGACAGAAAAATCATTTATGTTTTTCTTGGGTCAGTAGCCATTTTCGAAAAATAAAGCTGTAGTAGATTTGTGACTGTAGCGATGTTAGGATAATAGGTTGTTAAACCCACTGTTTAGTGAGCTACTAGCTGTTATTTGATTTTAGGTGTTTTTTTGTTAGTCTGTCCCTCTGATGCCCTTAGAAATTTACATATTTTATTTTTTCTGGGGTAAATGTAAATACCCTGCTTTTGAAATAAAAATTTATAAAAACATAGTCAAACTAAATTTGTTCTAATACTCCATGAAACCTTCGTTTACATTTACCTTTTTTAACAGGGTAATTGTAAATACGTGGGGTAAATGTAAAACAAAAAAATAAATAAAAAATAATGTGCCAAATAGCGGTTTGTCCTGGTGAATTAACACGCAATACACTAACCGACATTGTATCCAAATTTCATAGATTTAGAAAATAATAAACCTTAGATAATCACTAGGTACCAAAGTTAAAATTGTTAAAACTGTTTACAATTACCCCAGTTGACCCTATTTGGTTTTACATTCTTGAAAAGCACAATTTCCCGATTCCAAGACAATAGTTTGTCTATATTTGGTTGAGCCGTCTCCAACATTTTTGGTTTTAAAAATTTTAAAAATACCAGTGGCGTACACTCGATCGACCTCCAAATGGAGAACCATACGAAAATATACAAAACTGTATGATTATTCAAAAACTGTACATAGGAAACTTTATGATTATTCAAAATCTGTATGTACATAGGATTGGATTCATACTAACATCGAAAGGTTGAGTGGGTAGTCAGAAACAGGAAAATACCAGTGGCGTACATTCGATCGACCTACGATTGAAGAACCATACGAAAATATACAAAACTGTATGATTATTCAAAAAAACTGTACATAGGAAACTGTGTGATTATTCAAAAACTGTATATAGAATTGAATTCAAACTAACATGGAAAGGTTGAGGGAGTAGTGTAGCTTCCATTTTTCTGCACACTGTCTTATCTAAGCTAACTTTGAAAATCTCAGCTGAGCTAAAGTTGTAGTTCGTACACATTAGATGGATGAAGGATATAACCTTAAAGAAACATAACCTCAGGTAAAAAATTGAACTAAGTATGGAATCCGGCATCCTTGGCGTAAGCAAGGGGGGAGGTAATTTCGATTGACATAAACTTACCTAAGATGTTAGAAAAAGTCCTTTATTTCAGAATAACTCAGGTTAGATAAGATACAAATTTGGGCCTGGGGCCCGCGCGTGCTTTGCACGGCCCTGTATATAGTATCTGAGTCTTGTAACTGGGACATTAGTTCCGAACTGCCCTAAAAGCGTTCGAAAAAAAGCGATTCAGAAAATGAAATTACAAAGCTTGTAAAACAAGTAACAGAAACTCACTACCTGAGACGTCTGAAGCGAGGTCCTCTAGCAATGGATTTCAGCAAATAAAAAAATGGAAAACATTGTTAAACGTTTTGATGGTCTTTTTTAATGAAAAATGGTTCAAAAGAAATTTGATTTGTATCAGGACTGACGAAATATGGAAACAGTATCTTCGTAAAGAGAAATCAGTTTTAGACAGAGATAAGAAGTCAAAGGATTTTGTTTTTATGTTTTTTTTTTTTCAAGATTCATATATATTATAGTCATAAATTTCTGGAGCCTGTGGGAGAGTGGAGCTGACCAGAATAATTGTGTAGGATATAAAAGATTAAGGCGACATTTTTGTGGTCTGTAATCAGGCCGTGTATAACCATCATGTAACCTTCACAAGAGTGAGGTAGTGATGTCTATATCTCACTTGTTACCTAAAAATAACTATTATTGAATTCAACCATGAGAAAAAAATGAACTTGTCTCTTGAAATAATAAAGATAACTTCAATTTAATAATGAAAGTAGAAATCACGTAGATTATTACTCATTTATTTGAAATTCGTTTGAAATGTCTCAAAAGACACGTACGCTATGAGCTTTTTTAGTCCGAAAAATAATAAAATATTGCAAAATACGTATTGACCTTGGCGGTCACACGAGTTTTCCATAATTGAACGGTTCAAGTTTAATTCAAAAATATCAAAGAAACTTACTGAGAATTTTCTTATATTTTAGATATCCCTTATTTTCATTCGTAAAACTATTATTATTATTACAAGATCAAGGGGGGCTCAAAAGATTCACTTGATGGTAAAACCTGGGATTTAAACCAGACAAAATTATTTTATGTTTGTGAGCGAAAAATAAGTTATAACATATTTAATTCTTGATTTACTTACCCATTTCTACTACTAGGTACTACTAATTATAATAATAAGGTACCTAACTTCATGCCTAATTTTTAAATCTGAAAAGCATTTTGCATCGATTAAGTATTGAAGGAATTGAGATAAATTTGGACTTCTACTAAACCTAACTAATGGTTTTTACAAATTAAGTAATATCAATAATGGGATTTTCATTTATTGAGCTGGTTTAAATAAAGTGGGAAAGAGTTGAATAGGTAAGTTTTTTTGATAACAGGATAAAAAATAATAAAGAGCAGGTTCAAGCATGTCTGAGGTCAGGACTACCCAATTCCCTGGTAATTATTATAAATATTTTTCAAGAAATAGTTATTTGAGAAATTAAATATTGGTATACTATTATCTTGATTAGGTTGATACTTGAAAAAAGGTACCTACCTAGGTAACTATGTTATGGTTATGATTATAAAAAAAAAATAAGGAAACTACTTATCAAACAAATTTTTGGTGCTTTATAGATTCGGTATTTTTATGAAACGTAATCACAAGTTTTGTTGAAAAAAAAAAATGTTTAAGCTCAACATAAACAATATTATAAACTTTAATCTACAATATATTTATCGGTAGAGGTTGTACTTACCGTATAGACGTTGTTGCTGTTGATAATCAGCGCCGCCGGACTTGGTTTTCATTATTATCAATCGACGTTTCCCGTTATCAGCAGCAAACTGCTCGGGGTGCACAGCTATCTCTGGTACCACTACTACTAAAAACTATTGACGACACAGTCTTGTCCGCGAACCGGAGCTAGTAAGTACCGCCAAGTTTTAATTAGTACCAACCTCGCAAGCGTTGTTCGTTGTTGATGTTAAGGTTGGCCAGCGGACTTACCAGACTTAGGCACCCTCGAGCAGGAGCCCAGAGAGAGACAGAGAGAAAGACGCGTGAAGGGGGGACCATCAAGCGGTTACGCTGCTGCACTAAAGGTGGTAGTGGGAGTGAAAAGGGAGCTTCGATTTTATTTTGTTATTCGTCGATGAAGATCCTGTTGATCGTAACGGATGGACACCATTTGTCAGAAGCTCTTGGGTCTTTGGTCTTTGTTGTTTCTTTCTTGTGCTTGAATAATTAATTTCGGTTGCAGAAGGTAGATCCTAATTAGCCCATCCTTTTTACCTTAACAATAGTTTTATACTTTTGTTTACCACGAGTTATCTCCGTTAATTTGTTTGTCTTGCAAGTACCTACCTAATAGAAGTTGTATTTTCGGTTGACAAATAAAAACAATATTCGGGCTTGAGAAAGTTTCAAATTTAATGACTGCATTAAATCGTTTAACAACTTGAATACCAGCTTTTATTATACTTGCTTACTTAGGTATCTCAATTATTAATTACCTATACCATCATTCAACTGACTTTCGCTGATAGAGTCAATTCGGTCAAATGAATAACTTGAACTGAATCGATCAGTGTTGCCAACTATATGAATGGCCATTTTACCAGATTTTAAAACTTGGAATACCAGAGAATATTACTAGATTTTTCTCAATCCTGCCAATACAAGAATATTACTATACCTACGTCTTTGAGGCTAAACAAAAATTGTGCTAAATTTTTTTTTTTTTTGTTTTTTTCGTTTAGATTTAAAATAAAAAAGCAATAACAACAATATCTAAGTATGGAAAAATAAAACTTATTCAGGTAAAATAACAGCTAGTGCATACACAGAGGATACCTATAAACAAATACAATGTATTGTAAAAAAAATCCATTCTGTAGGTGGTATAACATAACATTATACAGATATCGGTAAACATACTTAGGCCCGGTTTGTTCATCTTCAAATAAGCTCCTTGGTGACTATCTGCAAGATAAGTGCACCGTTCTATAATTCTATATTCTATTGGTCGGCTACTGAAAACTGGCCAACCAATGGGATAACAAATTTCGTTTTTATATGGGTCAGATTGCATACCTACCTGACAGTAGTTTTATCAGAAGGTGAATAAGCCGGCCCTAATAGGTAGGTATATTGGTAACCTTTGGCATAACACAGGCACGTGACTGGATAAGACAGTTTCAATTTACAAATCACGTGCCTGTCCAAATTTCGGAGCAAATTGATGATAATGCGAAAATACCAGAATTTTGCTGGAATGAAATGTCAAATTACCAGAAATTAGATACCTATATTTTGAAAATCTTCATTATTAAAACCGAGGTCGATATTACTAGATCTGGTAATTATTTTAAGACATCTTTGAAGCAGTGGCGGCTCGTGGTATAACATATTGGGGGTGCACATAATTTGTAATTCATAATAAATGCCGAAAGGGGGATGCCCGTTGTTTTGCTGGCGCATTTGGCCACTAATTTTTTAAATTAATACTTTACAGGTAGAATGTTAAAATTTGAAGAATGATAAAATTAAATTTAAAGTTGTTTGATATTAATTTGGGAGTGCACGTGCACATGTGCTCTTATGGAGGAACCGCCACTGCTTTGAAGACGTTGTGTATGTTACAAAACCCAACGTCTTTCAGACGTCTGATGCCTAAACACACGTCTTCAGTAGGACTCATATTTCATTACTATTACTAATTTTATAACTTTCAATTTTTGTCTTTTCCAAACGCTAGGCTCTAACTTCTCGATTTCTTTTAAACGAGAATATACACAAAATTCATTTTGGCAGAAAAGCATAAGAAGCGCCAGGAGTAAAAAGTAAAGAACAAATCAACAGCCAGAGCTATCACAAATACTGGTAAATAGTATTTCAAATACCAATTATCAATTACGGGAAATTCATGTTGCAAGTACAAATACTAAATACTTTCAATTCAAAAAGTACTTCAAGTTTCAGTACTTTAATTTAGTACTTGATTTTTTCAAGTAAAATAATTCAAATACTCTGTAAGTATTTGAAGTACTTAATTAAATATTTGAAATACCTATATGTATTTGAAATATTAAGAAGTACTTCAAGTAGCCACTGAAAAGGAATTCAAATTATTCAATTATTTTTTTAAAAACTATTGAAAGCTGAAAATATACAGGGTGTTACTAAACATATCATGTGCAAACGGAAGAATGATTCTTGGGTTTATTTTATGACTAAAATTTCTAATCAACATAGGTCCGCAAACGCTTCGTTACCACTCTACAGGGTGTTCAAATTTTAATGTGCAAGAATATAGCGGCGAAGGCGTAGCTTAATTCTAGATTCCTATTGAATATGTGTAAAAATATGGCGGCGGGACCTCTATTGTCGTCACTGTAGGTAGCAAAGGTTTATTGAGTCACTGTAATTTCTTCTAGCAAATTACAGAGATTGGTCTTTTAATTTTTTTTTCGATGAGGGTCGGTGATACAAAAAAACTACAAGAGAACAAAGAGTTTCTAAATAAGGTAGAAAAATTATTTTGTTTCTGTTCAGGGGCAGAAAAAGGGGCATCACCCCTGAAAAAACATCACCCTGTAAATTCTAGCAAACGTTCGACACGTGCAATCATTTAGGTACTATTGCGTAACTTATATTCCAAATTTGAGCTAAATCCCTCAAAAATTGCAGGAGCTATAAAGAAAAAAATAAAAAAATATTGAAATTTCAACACCCTGTAGATCGGTAACCAAGCGTTTGCGGACCTACGTTTATTAGAAATTTTAGTTATAAAATAAGCCAAAGAATCAACCCCTTCCGTTTGTACATGATATTTAGGCACACCCTGTATATTGTAATACCTCTAAAAAGTACTACAGAAATTCCAGATTCCAAGATTCCAGTTGCAGATTTATCTAGAAAAGGTTGATTGAGAAATAAAGTGCAGTGAGATTGTTATGCCTTCGAGGTCTATTCACTATTTCTGCAAAACTACTGTCTTTCTACAAGGGCTGATGACGGAAGACACGTATTGTACCTATGGAAAAAAATTTTTATGACAGGAAACCTATCCAAGGATTTTATATCTATACTGGTATCTTCTGCATATTGAAGAATTTCCAGTTCGAATTTTCTTTCATTGTTATTTTAAAGACTCTCCGGGGAGTGGGAATTACCATCCAGTTCAAAAAAATCTCCAGTCATATCTGCTGGTAGGACATGTTAATTTCACATTTGGTGAAGTATTTGAATTACTTTCTGGGGTATTTGATATATTTTAAGTATTTTGAGTACAAATGTCCAGTATTTGAATTACTTTTTTTGTAAATCTAAGTACCAAATACAAATACTTTATTTAAAGTAATTGCAAAATCAAGTACAAATATTCAGAAACAAAAGTATTTGAATTATAGTACTTCAAATACTTAAAAGTAATTGAAATACATTTCCCAAGTAATTTACTTGAAGTACTGACAGCTCTGTCAACAGCCTGGAATTCTAAAATACGAGAATAATCAGATTTCAAGAACTGGAATGAAAAGTTAAGAATTTAGAATATTATAGAGAAATAAGAAAAAATCAAGAGCCAACAACTGTCAATTTTTGCTGCTGAAAAATGACTTGGAACGTTCTAAATGGCTTATTGAAGTTCTACAGTGTTCTAACTTGGCTCAAAGCGTTCTGGAGCATTTTAGAAGTTGTTCAGTAATTTCTGAACTGTTGTGACAGATTTTCAAATATTTAATGAAGCACCAAAGTGTTCTAATAAATTGGTTCAAACGGCTTCCAGTTCTAAATTGAATCCTTAATTGTTCCGAAATAACTCTCAAGTTGATGGATTGGGAGTGGAGATTCTAGAGTGTTTGAGTGTTTCAGATGAGCGTCCTAAAATAGGTTTATTGAAAGTTCTGAATAATTCTAAAATGCTTTTGGAAATTATAAATCGGTTTTTAAATGTTTTGGCGCATTCTAAAATGGTTCTGAAGTTTCCAAATTGTTCTGCAGCGTTACATAATGCTTTTGAAAATTCTGAATTGAATTTTAACCCTTGCCTTACCGACAGTGGGTCAGCGATGACCCGAAATCTGATTTTCCAGGAATATCTTGCGGACTTCTTCTGTGAATTCTCCTAATTTATGTCAAGAATATTGTCTTGTGTATGATTTTTTCAAAAAAACAATTTTTCTATGGGTCACCAATGACCCGGTTTTGGGATAACTCGATCGGTATACGCTGAAACTCTCCAACTCGACAAGTCATGGCAAGCTTTTCTTAATTTCTTACGTGTTTTCGGCATGTCTAGCTTCCTCCTTCAGTTTACTATTCACTTATTCTAGTTCCAAAGTGTTCTGTAGCATTTTAAATAGTTTTCAGTAAATTCTAAATTGAATCAGAAACGAATTCTGTAGGAAGTTTTTGTAGACCTCAACGACATTCAAGATGTTTTTAAACGTCTGCTTACGTGTTTAAGGTATCTCAAAGACATTTCAAAAACGTCATATGTTACAACAAAACCCAACGTCTTTATGACATTTTTCCAAGACATTCTAAAGACGTCTTCAACGAGTTGTCTTAAAGACGTCTTTAAATCTCTTTTTAATACATAAATCATTATTCACTATTAGGAGAGGTTGTATATACCAAATAGTGTGGCTCAGTTATCTTTAAGATGTGCATTTACGACATCATATGAATGTTTTCTAGACTTTTTTTTTAGTCTTCAGACATTCAGACGTCTTTAGGATTTTGCGTGCTGCTTGGGATTTTTACGTATGTTTATTCATATTTTTACGCATATTCATATCATTCAGACATTCAGACGTTGTTAAGATTTGGCGTGCTGCCAGGGATTTTTACCAAACCAGAGCAAGACAAGGGAGTGCGTTTCACAAATACCTACATACGATTCTCGATCAAAAAATCGCAATAAGATTGAAAAATCAGCGTTGACAAATTTTGTGTGCAAGATAACGTGCGAGTTTACGAGATGATGATGATGTTAACTGTAACCGGAAGAAGATATCAAATGGCCACATGGATTCTCAGATTTAACGCCACTAAATCTTTTTTTTTTTTGGGGTTCATACTGTATTGAGTCACAAATCCAGGTCAATCAAAAAGGATGATTCAAGGATTTAGTGTTTTTTTTATTCTAATTATAATTTTTTTCTCACTTAGATGCAATAAAATCATACAAAATTTCTATCAAATCACCTTTAAAAGCTTGTGAAAAATACTTAAAGCAATCAGAGGGACTTCAAACATTCAGGATCCATTGAATAGGGTCTCTTCATCGAATAAAACAAACCTCTTGTGGATCTCAGGCTCAGAAATGGAGTTATTATTATTTTTTGCTTACTAACATGCAAAAAAATCAGGTAAAATTTCTATTCAATCACCTTTGGAAGCTACTGAAAAATACTTCAAGCAATCAGAGGGACTTCAAACTCTCAGGATCTATTGAGTAGGGTCTTTTTATCAAACAAAACAAATCGCGAGTGGATCTCAGGGTCAGAAATGGAATTATGAATTTTTTCACTTTTACATGCAAAAAAATCGATAATTATAATTTGTGTTTAAAGGTACTTTTATTAACTAATTAAAACCTTGACAACAAAGTGCAATTTATAAGATGCAATAATTTCACGATAGGTAATTAAAAAATATATATAAATTTTTGTAGAAAAAGTAGACGAGACGATGACAAAACATACAGGGTGTTTCATTGAAAATAAGACAGTATTTTCATTTCAAAAAATCGCATGTCTGTCAAAACTAAATTT